AATTAAGCCACTTTTACAAAAACTAAAAACAGGTATTAAAATTTTTGACTTTGTGACCTTAGACTTTGACCTACTTTGTAAAGAAAAACCCTTTAACCTTGACCATAACTTTTGAACAGTTAGTACTAGGGTTTTTATATTTCGCAGGTGTATTCCTGGTGATAAAACCTTCTTTTTGACACAATCATTTTTGACCTTGACCCAGAGTATGGCTTGCATTTGAAAACTTCAAACTTCCCATTAGCTGTCATACGAGGACACCATTGTTTCACAAACACATCTTGCTGGTAATGATACACTTTTCAACTCATTGATTCATACTTTTACAGAAAACTATGGCAGAAAGATTTCTCATGTGGACCTTGCTCTCTCTTGGAATCATTTTGAATAGCATAGCGCCAAGTAATCAGGAGGAAATGGTTCCCATCCAGACTGAAACACCACGTGACGTAAACCACGCCCAAAAAGGAAATATCACCAAACGCCCTTCGAGTTCTTTCCTCCACGCCAATGCCAACAGTCCCTGGATTTTGGACTGGCGAAGGCTATTTAAACGCAACTTTTCTAAACATTTTGCTTAATTGTGTTGTATTCTGAATCTTTGACACAGATCTTAATATTTTGCATATGTATCCTAATACATGTAACAGTAAAATTTATATTTTCACCCTGGCAAGTATGTGTATGGAATTCTATGTCATACGACAATTAAATCGTTTACTATAGTTTTCACTTTCTCTTGTATTAGACTATCTACTCAAAATCTAAATCCTGAAACAGGTAGATATGCATGTGGATGGAATTTGGAAAAAATAGATTTTGCAAAATGTGCATAATCTTTGAATGCAAAGACGAATTTCATTTTTTTTTTGAATCAAGATCGCAGTATTTCAAAAAGGATTACTATAAGAAATCCAGTGTTAGGGAAAAAAAATTTAATCTCGTAAAAATTTTATATCGAGCTTCCATTAAAAGAAAGAATCGCTTATACTTTTCAAGTGTATCAAATAATTTTTGTCGCCTGTTCAAACACGTCCTACAAAGTTTACTTGCTTTTTACTGATTATGCTCACTCTCGTATTAATTGTTACATTTGTATCTTATAATAATATGTTTAGTTTTTACGATATATATTCCGCTTCGTAATATGCACATGACGCAAAGAAATAAAAAACTTGATCCACATGTATATGTGAAGGTGTGAACTATATAAAGAGCTGTATCTTAATTTTTCAGCTTGCCTGAGTCGTAAGCTTTTCTGAACATTAACTTGCCGTGAACTTTTTTTTTTTTTTTTTTTTTTAAATTTTATCATTTTCAGAATCACTGAGGCAATTTTAACCAGGCTCAACAGATAGTATCCTTGGGTGAAGTTAATTAAACTTCGCTCAATAGTTGTATACAGCCCTCTTTCAACGGGACTTTTGAAAACAAGAGGCCCATGGGCCACATCGCTCACCTGAGCACATGGGCTAGTTAGAAGACACAAATCAGTTCAGTATTGAAAAGTTTACTTATTCAAGGAGAGGGATACGAATTTTCTATTACTTCAGAATGTCACTATATCAATAAAGCATACATGTATAATTTTGCAATACTTGAAAAGAAGATTTCTAAAGGGTTTTCCCACATACACTGTATTACTTGATCTCCCATTGTGACCCCCCCCCCTTGACCTCCCTGGGACATTATTTGAATAAATTTAAATCTTCACTACTTGCAGATGCTTACATGTCAATTTAACTAAACAAAACTTTTCTGTTCTGGAGATTTTTTTCTTAAGTATATACTCTTATGCAAAACTTCGATCCCTCATTGTTGCCACATCCTAACCCCTGGAATCATGATTTGAACAAACTTGAATCTACACAACCTAAGGATGCTTCCACATGAGTTAACTTTCATCTTTCTTGGTCCAATGGTTCTGGAGAAGAAAATTTTAAAAGATACTATTAATTTTTCATTAATTCATAATTATCTCCCCTTAGAAGAGGACTTTTCCCTTCATTTGAACAAACTTGAATCCCCTTTACCCAAGAATACTTTGTGGCAAGTTTGGTTGAAATTGGCCCATTGGTTCTTGAGAAGAAAATGAAAATGTGAAAAGTTGACGACAACGACGCCAACAACGACAACAACAGCAATGATAGACAACGGACAAATTTGGATCAGAAAAGTTCACGTGAGCTAAAAAATCATGACATCTTTGAACAAAAAAACAACACCTTATCAAGAACCACTCGGTCAGAGGAGAGGGCTAAAATAGGCTTTGCCTGCTGCCCAAACCCATTCACTTTTTATTTGTGAATAAATTTTTGTATTAAAAAAAACACTCGGTCAAGTGTGCTGAAACTTTTGTATAAGATTTGTAACATAATGAAAATTTATGTAAATTTACGAAAGACAAAGTTTTTAATAGGAATATATCTAAGGTAAGCGTTGTGGTCCTTTGTTTTAATCAAAAGACAGAACTCATTCATAGGACCATTACACGCTTAGTTTGGACTTTCAGTAAGGCGTGGCATTCTCGACGTTACCTAATTAACTTCTGCAATTTACACAGCTTCCCTTCACTGCTGAAATATACATACGATAGAAATGCGGCCGAATGTCAACTGGTATATTAAACAGTCAATTAAAAGTTCTCTCACAGCACAGAGGTGCGGCATAAGTCGTCTCATCGTTGTCAACAACAATTTTAAGTTCCTGTTGTTATTAATTTCTTAACCAATGAGAGTCTACTAGTATTAGCCATTACGTAGCGCCGAGAATGCCACGCCCTACCGAAAGTCCAAACTAAGGAGAAAATCGTCCTAAATAACAAACTTAAAAGCATGCTTTGTTCATATTTCATCAAATTTAGGTCAAGAATATAGGGAGAGATTGTGGAATCTTTGCAAATATTAAGTAAAGTAAATATCAAAGTCATAACCATCGTAAATGTACAATATGATATAACTTCCCCGCTGAAAATTTTCCAGGATAATTTTAATTTAAAATGATTATATAGTACTATTGTACCATTATATGTTAAAGTGACAAAATCAGAATACATTATCAGGAGTTTAAAACAGATACCAAAATGATGAAAGTTTAATCTTTTACTTCCATTCTCTTGACATGTTTCAGTCAAAAAATTATCTAGTTATCTCTTTAGATATTAACTTTTTAAAGAGTTATCTCTCTTGATATTTATAAGTTTAAAGAGTTACCTCTCTTTTTCAAAATATAAAGTTTAGAGTTATCTCTCCTTAACAAAACGTCACGCCGGTATCATTGATATTATTTATACTTAAAGACAAACATATAATTATGTAAAACTTTAAAATGATAACTATAGGAGATTAAATAATTCACAGATTTAATTAAATTTTATTAACACTCTTTTTTACTGTCTGTTGTAAATTTTGATTGCCTAATTTATAGGTCTAAAACGTTTGCCCTCTTATTGGACACTTAAGAATTTATCATTTTTGTTAGGCGATATTTGATTCATTCCCACATAAAGTTATTACAGATTTGTGTAAGCTCCAAGTATCAGACAATCCCTTAGAAAAATACAGAAGATGAAGTTCCGAACTGAAAGGTAAATTATTCAGCTCTGATATCTACAGTCCACACTATCTACAGTCCATTCCAATTGAGACATATGCTGACCCTTTATATCATGCTTTACACGAAAATAAAGTTTTTATTTTTTATTTCTTTAAACAGTTATGTGGAGAAACCAACTCATAGACATATTATAATACATTATTTCACTGCAGCAAGTAATCAATCAAATTGTCAGTAGTTCTTACCATTAGCAACATTTTTAAAATTTAACAATGTATAACAAGTTATCATCCACATAAATCTATGAAGGTATAAAGATACACCAAGCACAGATTTTCATATCATATTTGGTTGATATATGAAGCATGAAGCAAGACATACCAGTACTCATTGTGTCTCATAAAATTTGTAAAATATCTGGAAATAATGGCCAAGATGTATTCTTAACAAAGTCACAAGATTGTTTTGCAAAAAATGTGCACATACATGTATTTAAATGTACATGTATGTGTGCATAACTTAAATATTGAGAGAAAAAAAAAGACTGGATGGACAGGCTGTTAATAGAATATCTCCAATATAGGTGACAAAGAACCAATGGGATAAATATGTCACATGGTCCAATTGGATTTATTTTATTCACATTGAATAAAGAAATCATTCTATAAAAATTACTAGAATGAAATTTCTTATTCCTAATCTTCTACAAAATTGTTTGTGGACAGATTTTCTCTGATTTTATTGTTTTACACCTATATCACAGAACAGTGGGAATTACGTGTACAGATTACAACTTATAACAAGTACCTAATTATCAAAGGTTGTGTGCACTTCAGACGGGACCAAGTTTACATACAGGAAGTAAACCTAAACAACTAAATCTTAAATAAATTTAAATTATTCTAACTGTATCTTCCATTCCAGAAATTCCTCAATATATTGATTCAGATTTACAACATTCTTTCTTTTATAAATTTTTTTGATATTACATTTTTATTAAGAATTTTTTAAAAGTATGACAACATAATATAGTTTCACATTGAAACCATTTCTTAAGAACATGTGCAATGTACATGTACATAAACTCTACAATGTATCCTTCCCACTGATAATTTTCTAAGATATTTTCGATTTCAAATTTTTGAAGAGAAATGAATATTAACATAGTTTTTTTAGTTAGTATTACCCAAAAATTTGATTTAAAGGAGTTGTGTAGTAGGCATCATAAAACTGCAAAAATGCCATTCAACAAATGGAAATTTTAAAAGAAACAGCCTGGGAATAAAAAATCATAATTAACATGTAAATACACCCTCAAAGAAAATAATAATACGTACATCTTGCTTTTTCAAGTTTATATATACATATATCATGTGATATATAAATACATTTTTTCTTAAATAGGCTACCTATAAAAGTGTTATATGAAACATAAATACATGAACTTTCTGGAAAAAGAAAAAAAACTTCAGAATCTTAAAGGGAAACTTTTCTCCAATCATATATTAAACTGATTAAGCCTTATCATTTCTTTTTTAAAAATTCAATCACGAATTTTTAATCTGGCCCTTGTAGATAAAATAAAATGCTTGAAATAACAAAAATGTCACAAATTTCATAAAATATTCTACTTTAATCAGCATAATTATGGTCATCTTCCATTTTATTACCCCCCTCCCCCTCAAATTATCAAGGACACCCCACACAAACTGGTTTTATCCAAATGACGCACAATTTTCTCTTCAAAGTGCCAAGCACTTGGGGAAGGAACAATATTGCTATCTATTTTTTATCCACTTCCAATAGTCGAAGCTGGATTAGAAACATGACCTAATCATGGAGCAAACACTCTACCAACTGAGCTACCACAATGCCATGATGGCTTATTTTAGAATAAGTAAATAACATTTTACAATTAAACAAATTGCTTGTGCACTTCATAATTGGTATATCATAAGATTGTGCAGTATACTTTATGGTTTATATGCACCACAGTGGTGTAGCCAACTTTGTACAATCTTGCATATTTCAATACAACACAATGTTATGTGTTTTCCAATAACTACTTCCATACATAGTTAAATATTACATGGGTACATGTGTGTGTACACAAGAAAATGTCATTGTGTCTTTGTTTTACAAAGAAATGATAATAGACACGTCTACATCAATAAATATAATTTACTTAGAAGTCACTGAACACATAGAAAGAAATCACTGCCTCTAACAAAGAAATAAATTTTATAGTATTATGCCACAGAACCATGCATTCAACCCATTTAGAGCCACTTCTACAAATATTTATATAGTACATATTCTTGTTTTCTAATCAGCTTTGTGGGGGCACATTGTCTCCCCTTGGGTGCCTCCATCCACTGAACCATGAAGACACGGCTGACTTGGCATTGACTATAGCGCCACCTAGGAACACAAAGAGTCATGTGACAAAGATTTGAACAAAGTCAAGGGACATGCATGTAACACAATCCCCATCTTTAAATGATAATCATTAACCAATATATTAACATTTATCCTGCAACTAACCCTTGCATTGACCTAATAAAGGTAACCTAATAAACCAAAGCTTTATCTGGTCACTGCCCTAATAATATTAGTTAAGTAGACAAGGACCCCACATATTTCCGTATTACCCCTCTAAGTGTCTACATAACGAATTTATCCTGCCGATGGTTCTCTAAAAGACTAAATATTTAAAGTATCGATAATCTGCTTTCACTGAGCATCCAAGCAAGGCATTCTGCATCCATTGTTGTCGTCAGACGCATTGTGACGTCAGTTATGAAGCTCTATGCAGGTCACGTGCAAGCAGTATATTGATGATGTGTGGTTGGTAAATTTTTAATATATGGTGGGTATGTCACATGGAAGGGGCACATAAGCAATGTGAGGTGGGTAAACAGCATAACATCGTTTCATGCAGTACTGCTCTAATGAAATTTCACGATTTTTATCAGAGGCAGGATAAAGCCTCGTGCATGTATTCTGTTGTTCTAAAAGCATTGTGACGTCATGTATATTGCAATGATTACGCCATGGTGTCATAGTTTCAACTGCAGAGATGTGCTTAAATCTGTCGAAAATAGCTAGTTTTAAACGTTCAAATTTAAAGAATATGTTGCAGGACAAACAAAATACATGATAACTGTCTTGAGATATAAGCGATATTTGGGCTCGGGTCGAAAACGTAAGAGGGCTCGGCAAGCCTCGCCCCTCTATCACGTTTTCTTATCCTCGCCCAAATATCGCTTATATTTCAAGACAGTAGCCATGTATTTTATATGCACTCAACATGCTCAATTCAGCATATCTTGCTTAGAATTTTTTTTGTAGAAAGGTCCTTTTTACGTGAAATTTAATGAAGGAAAATACATCAGATCTCATGTATGTTATTTATTTCAATGAGATTTGACTCTCTTATCTGGAAGTCAATGAACCTTACATAAAAATGCTGATTCATCGTGTCTTAAAACTGGTGCACTGTAGAGAAGGACATTATATTTCTTGCTTTTTATTCAATAACTGTATAATTATATGGATTAGATGTCACAGAGGAATTCCTTTTACGTCTCTAGGTTATCAGAATAATTTATATCTTACAAAAACAAAAATTAATATATGAGAATTAATATATGAGTTGGGTGGGGGTAATTGTGTGGGGTTGGTTTTTAAGATGAAATTATTATTTGGGTTGACAGGAGGGGGGGGGGGTCCTTTGGGGTTGGTATTTGGGGGTTGGGGGTATTTGCCTGGGGTAAGTGTCTGGGGTGGGCTTTTTGACTGAGGGCTGGTGTTTTGAGGTGGGGGTATTGCCTGGGGCTAGTGTTTGGGGTGGGGAGTTTGGCTTGGGGCTGGTGTTTAGAGGTGAGGGTATTTGCCTGGACTTGGTATTTAAAGGGAGGGGGGTATTTGCCTGGGCTTAGTATTTGGTGGTGGGGGTATTTGCCTGGGTTTAGTATTTAGGAGGAGGGGGTTTTTGCCTGGGCTTATGTTTGGTTGGTTGTTTGGTTGTGGGGTGTATTTGCCCGGGCTCGGTATTTGATAATGAGGCTCCTTACCCACTGCCTTCCCTGCCTGTTCCACATACCGCCCTGTCTGTACCATGGCAGCATTGATTTTCTTCCCTCTCTCAGTGTTCTGTAGATTGCTGAAACACAATTTAAGATGAAAAGAATTCTTCAGTACATGCACATATTACATGTAAAACTTAACATTGAAATACTAATACAAAGTAGAGATACAAGCATTATCAAAACAGATAAATAAGTGAAAGAAATCATTATAACCTGAAGTTAATTTCTCAAAATACTGGTATAAAGAATAATTATAAACATATATACATGTACTGTGTATATTCTTAAATAAATTTCACTTTTTCATAGCTTCTGGCTTCAATCAACATCAATTTTAAAAAGGAGAATTTTTTGTCTGACTGTTGTGACTTACTGAGATAGTCTCATCTTGATGTCAGACATGGCTAAATTTCCCTGACAAGGATGTCTGTAAAGAAAGTGAAAAAAAATTATTAAAAATAAAATAACTTTGTCATCTGGTAAATACAGATTGTAATATACAATATATTGTGAAGGTGTGTACAGTGACAGCTTTTGTCTGTGTTGTGTGACTATTATATAAATTCTCTCTCAAACTAATCAATAAAATTAATCAAAACTTCCAATGTGTTTAATCTGTTTTTTATTATAACAAATTCTAATCATACCAGTATTTTTTCCCCACCCACACCTTGAAACCGGGTTCTTTGACACACATACATTTCATTATATATACAAATTTTTATCACCAAATCTGAGGAATATCCCACTAGGAAAATATATACTGAAAGGAAAAAGAAACGCATAAAAAACTTTTGAATAAAATTAAAACTTTTATTTCCAATATGTTTTCCAGTATTGTTATCAAACAATTTAATCCAACTTTAAACAACAAGTAACTGAAATCTTGTGTGACTTTGACTGATAATTCCTGAGTTATTAAAATTGATATGTCGATACCCCCCAAAATTAAAATAAAAATTCTCATCATCTCCCTCGCGCATCAGTAACAGTCTTGATTTTCTTGTGCATTGAGTTCTTCAGAGCCTTATCTTTCTCATAGAATTATCATTCAAGCATTCCGACGATAGTCTTAATGGTTGAGAATAGCTGTGTTATTCCAAAGCCAACAAATCCCCCCGCCCAATGAATCCAACGAATTTCGATTTAGGATAGAATTTACAGAATCTAGCTGATTTGGTTGAGTAATTTTGACCAGCGATTTTAGTGCACAGTATCCAAATTACACATCTGACCAATTTTCAGAATTTTCGGCCACATAGTTAAATATTTTTCGCTATAATGCTCTTATGCGTTTCTTTTTCCTTTCAGTATAATAAAACTGACCCATGTCATCTGGATGTACATTGTGCAAAGTTTATGCACTGCATGAACTTGGGTTAAAAGACCTGTTTTGAACAGATTTGAAACTTGAACCAATAATTAATATTATCTACGGATGCTTCTGTTGTATTAATGAGCCTATATAATCACAGCAATGTTCAAGAGCAGTTTTTTTAAAGATTTGTTCCTGTATACTACATTGTACAAATTTTACATTCAGTGTAATTTACTTTGTAAAATCCAGTAGAAATCCATGACGTTCAAATCTCTATAACACACGCGAACCTTGTCACCGTGCGTTAGAATGCACAGTAGGAATTATATCATTTTAAATACTCTAGGAAAACCAAAATGTGCATTGTTTTGACACAATTTAATAAAAAAAAAAATTAACCCTGTTAAATTAACGTAAAAGTACAACAAATGTGCGTTTAAAATTAATTTGTCACTTTTTTCCCTCGCAATGTTCGTTTGCGTTATTCAACTTTGCAACGTCACAAGTTTCATCAAAAACGGCTCTTACGTCTATAAAGCACACTAGTTTTGAAGGGCGCTAAATACACATTAAAAATTACCGAAATAAACAATTATGAAGAGGAAAAATTAGAGAATGTAAATATAAGATTTGAATTTATATTTTGGGATGTCTTCGGTCCAATACACTACACCTGGACGTGCCGACAAATTATCATACCGCGCTAACACGCGGTATTCAATTTATCGGCACAGCCAGGTGTGTTATAGGGCCGAAGACATCCCAAAATATAAGTTCAATGCTTAAATGTATGCCCCTACTGTAAATTGGCTCTACACCAGGGGTCATAATTAAAATAACTTGAATCCACTCTATACACCAAAAAAACACAAAAGTTTTGATCTTTTGACCAGAGTAATGGTTTCTGAGAAAACTTGATCTACACTATAGAAAGATGCATCACAAAAAAAAAAAATTAAAGATGTTTCATAGTATGTACTGTAAAATCACATATTTCATGGGGTCAAATTTGTGTGGTTTGAGGAAAATATATTGGTTCAAGGGGATTTGATTTCTCGGTTAGAGAATTAATGTTCAGTAGTAATATATGTGAAAAACTGCATTTTCTGGTGCACATAAATTGATGGGTTTTTTCAAACCTTGAAAACCAAAATTAAACCCTCACAGAAATAAATTAAGTGATTTCACAGTATACTTTCTTTATACATAGAATTTTGATTAACCATTGTGGTCCTACTCTACCCCATTGGGTAATTAAATCCGAAGATGCTTCTGTATAAATACTGCCAATCCTGGCCTCTTTGTTCTTGACTGAGAACAAAATATTTGACAATTTTTACAAGTATTTCTAGTAAAACTTTGATTGCCTAGATTTTGGCCCAAACCCATACCAAAATTTAACCCCCAAGAAATTTGTGATTGAACCTTATCTAGTTAGTAATAAAGAGGTCTGACTATATTATATAGATACTGTGTACTTACCCCACCAGAACATTGGACATGCCTGGATGACTTGTTCCGCTCCACTGCCTGTAGTTATGTGTTGTCTTGTAAGCCTGACAAAAAGCCGTCCCATAATCCTCCAGGAGCTTCAAATCTAAAAATAATATTCATAAAACAGACTGCACCATCACAGGTCTTATGTTGCTTTAATCCTACTGGGGGGGGGGGGGGGGGGGGGGGGGGCTACCTTCTCATCTCAAAGATTTCTATTTGATCCAGTGATCCAAAAGAGGGCTCAGACAAACCACTGATTTTGGAAGATGACTCTGTGGGGGTATAGAGAAATGTTTTCAATATTCCTTAGTCTCTGAATCAGACTGAAGTAATTTGAGGGTCTGTGAGTTTTTTCTTCAATTCATTTAACTTTATTTTTCTATTCATTAACAAGCTGGGGCCGAGGTGAATGCCATTGTGCATAAGCATCTATTTTGATGTTAGAAAACCACAAAAAAAAAACCCACAACAAAATGATAACCAATATAACTTCTCTCCATTTGAATTGAAATAAGCGATTTGTTTGTTTTGACTTGAGACTCACCGTTTTTCTCCATGGTGACCAGCATAGATTGTAGGTAGACTTTAAACTGAGACTGGACCCACTCGTCTCCGCCCTCCCACTCTGTAACAATAAGATAAGATAGAACTCAAAAGTGAGAGTTGCATTCTCAAGTAAACTGGAATTGAAACACATCTAGCATTCACCAAAATTAAGAACACAGTAGCTCCATCCTAGGAAGCACCGTGCATCATGTGGTTTTCCTCTTTACAAAAGTGATTAAAATGAATCTGACATACCTGTTCCATCTAGATATGGGTCATCTGAGTCCTCCCCCAACACAGCCTTAATGATGATGTCAGCGAATCGGAGGTCAGCAGTGGTCAGATGGAGAAGGCGGTTTAATTCTCGGTCATGGATTTCAATCTTCCCCTCCTCTGATTCCGACACCTGTCAAAGATCAATTAATAGCAGTGAAAACATACAACTCAAAATTCATAATTGTCTTTAATTGTTCAGATTTTTGCATTTTAGCTTTTGAGAAGACAATAACTTCTTAAAACATACCGCCTTTCTACACTTGATATTAGTGCCATTCCTATTGATAAACTTATAGATTCAAAGACAACTGCTTTAAACCTCAGAATTTTTTTTTGTTTCTCATGACTGATCATGCTGAACTTTGTAAATAAAATCACTCAGATTGTTTATTATACTCTCGACTGAAGTTGATATTAAAAAGATGACAGAGATAAATTACATTAAAAAATAATGTAGTCTACTAGTCTTTGGGGACCAGACCTTCCAACACACTTTTGGGAATTCTAATGGGCACTGATTGTGCTCCTATTTAACTGACCTGTTATATATTCCCTCAAAACAAATCTAGAATTTATTCAAATGAGAAGATGGAAACCCCTTCTTCTTACCTCGATAACAATATCTGTCAGGTGACGTTTCTGTCTAAACAGCATATTGGTGGCTCCTATGACAAACCCTCGGACATTGACATCTGTCATAAGATCAAAGTACTGCAAGGACAGGTACGGATGAAGCATACAACCCTACAGTCAAACCAAAAAGGCATTTTATAACTGCTGACTGAGCAGTAGAAACGCATGATTCATTCACTCGATCCTTTTCAATTACATATACTGTAAAATAAACATTTACAAGACAGTGTACCGGTATTTAGAAGGATACAATATATTCATCAAATATGTGTACACCATCATGACTATTTCTGAAAAATCACGTCATTGTCCAGGTTATTTTTGGCAAGTAAAGTAGACACAGTAAGAAATGCATCAGATAAATTTGCCTTGAGGTGGGAATCTAAGAATAATTTCAAGCAAAGTAAACAAGAGGCCCATGGACCACATCGCTCACCTGAGAATCTTTGACCATTCTGTTTTTTACCAGATTTCCCCCTTGTAATACATATTGTGACCCCACCCTACCCCAATGATCATAATTTAAACAATTTGAAATCTACACTACCCTAGGATGCTTCCACATAAGCTTTAGCTTTTCTTGCCCTGTGGTTCATGAGAAGAAGATTTTCAAAGATTTTCCCTATATATTTCTATGTAAAACTTTGATTCCCCATTGTGACCCCGCCCTACCCTCGGGGGTCATGATTTGAACAATTTACAATCTACACTACCCCAGGGTGCTTCTACATAAGTTTCAGCTTATCTGGTCCAGTGGTTCTTGAAAGAAGATTTTTAAAGAATTTTCCTATGTATTTCTATGTAAAACTTTGATTCCCCATTGTGGCCCCATCCTATCCGTGGGAGTCATGATTTGAACAATTTAGAATCTACACTACCCCAGGGTGCTTCCATATAAGTTTCAGTTTTTCTGGCCCAGTGGTTCTTGAGAAGAAGATTTTCAAAGATTTTTTCTATATATTTCTATGTTAAATTTTGATTCCCCATTGTGGCCCCGCCCAATCCCCGGGGGTCATGGTTTGAACAATTTAGAATCTACACTACCCCAGGATGCTTCCACATAAGTTTCAGCTTTATTGGCCCAGTGGTTCTTGAGAAGAAGATTTTTAAAGATTTTACCTATATATTTCTATGTAAAAATTTGATTCCCCATTGTGGCCCTGGCTTACCCCCGGGGGTCATGATTTGAACAATTTAGAATCTACACTATCCCAGGATGCTTCCACATAAGTTTCAGCTTTATTGGCCCAGTGTTCTTGAGAAGAAGATTTTTTAATGACCCCACCCTATTTTTGTCTTTTCTTGATTATCTCCCCTTGTGAAGGGACTTGGCCCTTCATTTTAACAATTTAAATTTCCCTTTACCCAAGGATGCTTTGTACCAAGTTTGGTCAAAATTGGCCCAGTGGTTCTCGAGAAGAAGTCGAAAATGTGAAAAGTTTACAGACGGACGGACGGACAGACAGACAGACGGACGGACAGACAGACGGACGGACGACGGACAAAATGTGATCAGAAAAGCTCACTTGAGCCTTCGGCTCAGGTGAGCTAAAAATCTTGAAACAATATTACTTTTGTAAAAACAGCCAGTGGAAATCCACAGTCGTCCTGAGTAAGTTTGGAGGACCTGAGCACGACATTCATTTCTACGTCCGAGTTCTCTTCGGTGGGTGATGTTGGCTCGTGGATTCCACTCCCCTTCTTCACCTTCAGTCCACTGAGAGCTGAGCTGATCTTATTCTTTATCGCAGCCGCTTTCCTGCCAGGGCTTCTCCTGGGGTCATTGTCTGGAATGCCTTTCTCTGTAACCTCTGAACTCTCTTTCTCCACAAAACTATCTGTCTTATCACCTTCCTTTACACTTAATGGTGATCCAATATCAATCCCAGAATCCTGAGTATCACATGACTGCTTTTTGGAATCTGATTGGTTAATTTTTTGCTGATCTGCTGACTCGGCTTCACTGATAGATTCCTTGTGTTCTATGGTGAGCAGTAACCTATCCTCCTCCCAAGAGAAGCAGTCCTCCTGATCAATCTTCTGTATACTCTCGGGGGAATCCAATTCCTCCACCCCCTCACTCCTCTTCAACACTTCCCGAGCATCCTCTAAATTCAACGAAATCTCAAACTTCGACGAGGTTTCTTTCTCTTCATCACTCAAGTTTTCTAACTTTTCTAAATTGAGGTCCTCCACATTAACTACAGAGTCTAGCTGTCTCATTATAGTCCCTGTCTGTATGGCCTTCAGTTGAGTGATATCTTTTACATTGGCAAGGGGATCCTCAGAAAAAGATACAGAGCTGTCATTTTTACCAGAACTGGACACGGCCTGATTCACATTTTCTAAATCCAGCGCGTAACTCTCAGAGAGTGTCCGTTTAACATTATATCGACTGGTTTTGGATTGTTTTTCAGACTCCCCTGTATCGGAAAAGCTTCTCACTGTTTTTGTCTGTACCTCACTACACTGAGCTTGTTCAAAGTCCTGAACATTACTGGAATTCTTGTTTTCATCCTTTGCGTCACTATTTTCTGTCTCTTTGGTGGATTCCATTCCATCTCTAGGAATTTCAAGTTCCTCTGGCTCAGTGTATGTCACTTCCTAAGAAATGTTAAAATATTTTTTAAACTCCACCAAAAATTAGTTTAAATGTAATGTACATTATCTAACATGTTTAAACTCAAATTCATAACAAGAGCTTTAAGATTAATATAAGCCTTTACCTTTTAAACAGTTGGGCACAAAGAAAAAAGGGGTACATTTTCAGATTTCTGGTCAAAATATTATTTGAAAAAGGTGTGCAACATAACACATGACTGTCTTATAATTCCCATGGTACTTTACCTGTTTTTCTTTCTTTGGAGAGCTCCTGATGACCTTGGCCTTTTCGTCATGGTAACAGACTTCCAGGAATTCCTCACTGCTGTCCGAGCACACTGCGTTCCTCAGCGTCGGTGACAGTTGTCTGTTCAGCTCCACGCTGGCCGATTCCTCCAATCCATTTTCTATCATACCTACATGTTGTTCAAGTATTTTAAAGTTTTTAGCCTTAATTCTAATTATAATAAATAATCTTAAATCTCTTAAACATGCAAGTATAATATTTACATAAATACTGTTAATGTATTTAATTTTTTTTTAATAATATTCCGCAGAAATTGTCTTTTCAACAAAGTGTATGGTAAATTTGATTTAGTGCAAACCTGATGTGCTAGAAAATAAATATGTGTACTTTTGTATATGTACTCTGGACATTTAGGGATTAAAAAGAACTTGATCATGTACCTTAATACAAATACTTTAATTCAAATAAACACATTTTTTTTTCATTATTAACTGAATATCCCTTGAACCAGATGAGTTGTTTATTCTTACCCGGAAAGAGGGAGAGAATGGCAAGGATTGTGTTACATAAAGTCTGTACAGGAGCTCCGGTGAACAGCACCTGAAAATAAATCATTAACAGATACAAATGTACAGCTCAAACAAAGTATTCCTCCTCCTCCTCTTATTTTCCCCTTGCCCACTTTAAAAATTTTTAAAAATTTTTTCTTATTAATTATACTTAACATATGTGGCAGAAATATGTGAATAGGAAGATTTCTTTTTGTTCAGGGAAGACAGTGCTTTCTTTGTCTGAGGCCAAATATGATAAGTTTAAACCAATTAAATAATGAAGGAATGGGGCCTACGAAGGGAAATCTCATTTTAAAATATTCGCATTGACCTCTTTCATTGTTGAATTTTGTTTTAAACCAAAAATATTTTATTTTTTCATTCAACATGTGAACATTGCCCGATTCTCTTGCTCTACCAATATGCTATTCAAAGGGAAATAACTCTGATTCTCTTTCTAGATTGATTTCCATTAAAAAACTATAGAATCTGATGAAATTTTCATAACAAAATAAAGAACATGAATATAATTGATGCAATGACATTTCCTGCCTTAAGATTGAAAATTTTTTTATGACAAATTTTGCTCCAAAACCTATGCAAAAATTGTTTGAATTTAATATACTGCAGAATCGCGAGCACTAAAGCAACACTTAACATTATAATGAATCAAAGGAAAAGAGGGATTGTAAACCTTTTAACAGCCTGTCTCCGAGAAAAGCATGCAAAATAGTCCGAAAGCAGGTTTCTCCGATTGCCTTCAAATTTTAAGAGCCAAATCTACTATGCATAAAATGAAATCAGACAAATTTCTATTTAGCTACTCCAACCCACATATGTTTTATGGACTGTTACTAAAAATAGCTCTTATGCAACAAAAATTGAGGTAATTTTTTTAACATTTTAGATATATTTTGAGAAGAAAAATAATTGCAACTTTAAAAATTATTCAAATATTTTGTTTTGTTGTAAAATAATAAAGATTAGTTCTTTTTAAATGCATAGTCAGAATGATTGACATTCATTTTGTTTTAGTGCAAATAGGTCATGAAATTGGCAATATTCCAAAATTTGAAAAAAGTGACAATTTTTAGTGGAATTGAAACTATTCTAGTTGAAAGGGGGGATGTTTTAATCCAGTAAATTTTATTGCTTATTGTTAATAATACCTATGTTAACAAAATATGAAAAAATTACCCTTGGCCAATGTACACTTTAGAAAATATTGAAAGTCAAAGTTTGTGAAATTTTCACATAAAAAAATTTCAAGGATACAGTTAGCGCTACTCAAAAAATAGCTCAAAACATGTCCAAGACTAAAAAAAATTATTTTCTAGAGTTCTTCCTATCTGTATTACAGAATTTAAACAAACATAGCTCTCAATTTAATACTTAATGACTTTAAATTTTAAAAAATACATGGAAAAAGAGGCCGGGGGGGGGGGGGGGGAGGGACTGGTATGAATTCTTTATAAACCTCTAAATGGATAAACTTAAGTATAAACCTTTATTATACAATTATAGCCTTTTGATGAGGTCAATCCCTCGATATATAGACCTTAGAGAAAGTATATCGACCGAGCACGAAGGGTTGTACCGAATCAAAAGGCTACAATTGTTTTATTATTTTTTATCAGTTAATAAGAAAAGTCTTAAAATCCTTCTTTATAATATTCAGAGCCTTCTCATACAAGGCATTGTTTTGTCATTGCATTATGATGTCACAGTAATGAAAACCAGCTGCAGTACCTGTTTTTAGAAACATCCAGTCTATAAAGACTATTGTGACGTCAGCACTATTGTTGCTTCACAGAAGAACGTTTCCAATTTTAGAAACAGCAGGTTTATAAATTTTTAAAATAGAAACATCCAGTCTGTAACACTTTTTATACTTGATCATGTGATCCAGTTTGAGCCAATCAGATAGTTGGAATAGTAAAGAAAAATAATAACACTTTTTATACTTGATCATGTGATCCAGTTTGAGCCAATCAGATAGTTGGAATAGTAAAGAAAAATAATAACACTTTTTATACTTGATCATGTGATCCAGTTTGAGCCAATCAGATAGTTGGAATAGTAAAGAAAAATAATAACACTTTTTATACTTGATCATATGATCCAGTTTGAGCCAATCAGATAGTTGGAACAATAAAGAAAATAATAATTACATTTAATGCATGTATACATACTTGGTCAATATTTACACAAGTGAACCAAGTGAACACATTATTCATCATACTAGTCATTTGATCAACATATTCATTTGAGTGTTAAAGTACAAACAATTTCTGCAATTTTTCAACATCACCGATACAAACATTGAGATATTTCAGACAAGTTCTTTTTACTGGGGGAAGGTGAAATGACTTGAAAATTTTTTTTTGATGAATGTGACACAATACATCCTCCTTTTTTGGAGCTACTTAGCCATTTATTTTGTTTATAAAATTTCATAATTTGCACTCATTACTTTCTTCTTCTGCCATAAAACACAATCTGGACATTTACTGCTCTCTAACAATCTTCACGTATCATAGACAAGTAATTGTTCACTTTCTGGGAGAATCATTTTCTGGATTTTGAAGCCAAACCAATTCATTTTCCTGTTGGCTCTTACTGAACTCCACCAATGCCTGTTCCTGATAGGACACTTTGCAGTTTGTATCAGTAAATTGTGAAACTCTCTAATGCTTTGAACATTTTAGTAGCATACAAATTTGCTGTGATGTTCTTACTTGATCTTGAATTTGTAAAATAAGTGAGATTTCCAACTGCCAAATATTTTTCAAATTTCAAAATTGAACATTCTTTTTGATGTGATGAATATTAACAGGAGTTACATGAATTGATGATTACTACTCTCTTTGCTTGCTGTAGTGTTTTGACAACTTTCACAACTGGTATCATCTTTCACTTGATCAGTCAGATCATGGTTTTATTGAAATGAGTTTTCAGTTCTGCTCCATTGTTCCTGCTTTCTTGGAAAAACTGCATAACCTATGAAACAAAATGCACCATAAAATGAAAAGAAATATGTCCTCCTTCTTTGAGTATATATCAGTAAAATATGACGACATAAAGAATAATTTTTTGTACATGCATAAGTAACTGCTAAATGGAGGAAAAGTGAAGTTGGATCATTGGAAAGGACTAAGTAAGAAAATAATGACAAAATTATTGCTGTCATCAACACTGATTTTAAGAATATTACGTTTATAATTAAAACAAGAGGCCCATGTGCCACATCGCTCATCTGAGCACCGTGGCTAGCATAAAAGCAGAAATTAATTTATTATTGAAAAGTTTAAACCTAAAAGTAGTCCCAATCATTCCTTAAAGGCGAGAGGTAATTGCACAAACTTGAATCAACACTACCCGAGAATACTTCCATATAAATACATGTATGACCAATCATGGCTTTGCGATTCTTAAAAAGATTCTTAAAGAATTGTCCTATATATTTCTATGTAAAACTTTGGTCGGCCATTGTGGCCCTGTCCTATCCCCTGGGGTCATGATTTGAAAAAAAATTTGAATCTACACTACCTGAGGATGCTTCCATCTAAATATGATTATTCATGGCTTTGTTATTCTTGAGAAGAAGAATTTTAAAAAACTTTTCCTATACATTTCTATGTAAAACTTTGGTCGGTCATTGTGGCCCCGTTTTACGGTAAATCATTCACATTTACACTTAGACTTGATCTGTAGATAATTAAATTAGTGTGATCAAGAGAATAGCAAATATGTACCAAACAAAGTAAGAAATCACTGGCTTTATCATTGTGACAAAACTGAGTCATTGAACATGCTGAATAGCTCTATTAAAGAGCATTTGACTATTATAATAATTGTTTTTTTTTCATATAAGACTTCTAAAATATTTTTTTCAGATAACAATTCTTACCATTTACATCTGGATCAGGACACTTGTCTTTTAATGTATTGGGGTCCAAAAAAATCCTCTGCATGTTGACAAATGTTGCTACAAGAAGTAAAAGTTAATAGTAAATTATTTATAACTTTACCCAGGTTTCTTATACAATTTGAATAATTTGGACCTCTCCAACATATGGTATACTAATATTAGATATCATATTGTGCATGCTTAAATGTTCTGTATAAACTTTCTGTTTAATATGAGTTCATATTATCATGACCCATTACCTTTCTAAAATATCAATTTTGCAAAAATTGTTAAAGTAAATATGATAGAAAATATGTGTGATAATATTTGGATAAAAAAACCTTTCCTTCTTTGAATACCTGGTACTTTTACATATACTCTTTAGTTTAGACTTATTTTGAGTAGCAAACTATTTCACTACTTGCACAATACCACAATTCAAAAGCATAAATTACATGTATGCGAATCAAAGCATATGTGCAGTTGAATGTTGAATATTTCTTAATTAGAGAAGTTATAATTTTTACTCCATCTCTTAACAACTGTTTGAACTTTCTTAATTTCTTTACAAAAGTTTACATGTATGACATATCAAACAATAAACATGACTGTTCCTAGTTAGAACATTTTCATTCAATATATAAATTTCTATTACAAATTCTTTATAGGTCACTGTAGATATTGAAATAAATAGGAGCTGCAACTTGGATGTCCAATTTTTTTTTATTGCAGAATTATTTCAAGACCAGAGAAAAAATATTTATAATCTTCTGTTGTTCATATTTGCCGCATGGCGATGAAAAAACTTTTTCATAACCTATGATTGAAGCAAGATTGCATTATCGTTGTCCTGTACAATATTGATTTCTAAATAATTTTAATTTGCTTGTACAGAAGTCTTTCTTCTAAAACACTTTAATACTTCATTTTAGTCTTGCTGAGCATACAGGTTTTAATTTAAATACAAATCTAACATTATAACACATTATATAATTTTTATGGCAAAATAAATTTCTTAAAAATGCAGCTCATATTACTTGAAGTAGAGATAAGATATTTGGCCTACCTGTCAGCATGGTCAGATCCTTCAGTTTCTCGTCAACTTCAAGGTAGCAGAAGTTTGTTATTCTTCTTCGCCATTTTAACCATTAACCCCCCCCCCCCACGTTATCCGTATGTCTTGGGTAGATTCATAACTTAAAATATACCACTGTATACATGGTCAACATGGTCATGAGAAAAAATCCACATTTCACAATCAATCATCCAGTCGGTCCATAACTTTTTCCCATACAACCTGATACTATAGCATCTCGGTCGGAGCCTTAAAGAAGTGCAAACAGTGTGATGGATCCTTAATACAGTCATACAAATAAAATACTTGACATACACGGCACGAAATGTATAAAAAATCTCTGAAGTTGCATTGTCCTCTTGGCGACCCTGACACATTGGAATGTCATTTCCGCCTTTTTCACTTGAAGACTTCTACAACGGGAGATAACTCTTACGCACACTTACTCATTCTTGTCATTTTATTTTCTTTGATCATTTTTGGAGTAATTTTAAGTTTTATCAACTTATAAATTTTTACAGCCTTTCTAAATATAAATTCAGACTAAAATATGTTTATTGGTCATCAAATGAATCCATATTAATAGTATTTGATTAATTCTGTGGTACAAAATGAGAGCTTTGCTAACATGCTTAGGTCATCATTTCAACAATTTATAAAATATATCTGCACTAAATAGCCAAGGGTGAATTTTTTATATTTGACAGAACATAAATCAATTATTATAAAAAACTTTATTTGATCAAATTATTTTATCCCCCACCGCTGTACCACTGTACTAAATATCCATAATAATTCTGAATTTCCAAATTTCGCCTAAGATATGGCTTCAGTATAGACTGCAGATAGTTGTAATCATTATGGAAAATAGGTATTTGTAATTTTTGACATATATGTATTTATGAAATAATAAAATACTGTATTTAAAATAATTATGCAGTGACTTTATCAGGCGTCAAACTTTCCTATTTTTACCTTCTATATAATGCCAATTATTGCTAAATATAGAAATTGGGTTGTTACTAAAAATAGATGCATGTGACACACTTTTACAATTTATTTTTTATATCCTAATACAACCTAGATCTTAAAAATATATGACAAGATGAAAAGCTCTATACACCCTTTTGGACATTTTTTCAGATTTTGCATGTTTTTCTCAGAGACAGGCTGTTAAATTTTGTGGATTCAGCTTGTTCATACTTGTACTTTATTACATGTAACTTACTCTTCGTTCGAGGAGGATTAGTTTAAAAAGTAGAACTATTTTGTGTCTGAATTGTGTCACCACATCACGAACTGACATTCCTACAAAAAATGAGAACAAGAAATGATGCAAGTCTGAACTCTAACCCCTGATACATGTAAATGCTAGGTGTTTTACTATGAATATTCATGAATTTTACATAATAAATATTGTAGGTACATGTGAACTAAAATTATTAATCTAAATGATTTTTAATCATCAAGATGTAATAATATTAGCCTTTTATAAATGTTGAAAAAATAAATCCCACCTAGAAAAACCTGAGATCCGTCCCTGAGACTTTCTGTCAAGGACAAGCTGAGATTTTTATAAGTATCCTCAAGGACCTCGACTTTACTGAAGTCCAGCTCTTTGAAATATGCGTGCGTAATTAACTCCAGCTTGGCCTGAATAAGTCCATACAAAGGCTGAAAAACAAGGACATGGGTATAAATTCTAAATGATTTAAAACCTATTAATAATTGCATAATTAAATAACAGCAAAACTAAAGTTATTTAATTTTGATCTGAATTGAATTAAACATGAAAATCTCTCTGTATCTCAGTGCATGGACTCTCTGGCAAAGAACTTTTATTAGGATGAATTCAATTTAGGTCAAGAAGACTTTCAATCCATTGATAAAACTGTTCTAATCACAGTCCGAGATCAGTCCGTATTACACTCACCAGTCGACTTAGGACACACACACTCTTCTGGACTGTACTTCTTGTTACTTCTGAAGATTTATTGACCAATTCCTGGAAATTTAGCAAAAATAAAATGAATTATTAAAATAAACTTCAAATTTAGCATCAAATATTTCATATCATGCATAAAGGCCGGGCATAATTTATTTAGTTACAATACATCATGTACACCACTTAGAATTAAGCTTAATGAATGTAATTTTAATGACTGGAGTTCTCCATTCATATTTGGTAGCTTTGAACATGTTGAATCTGCACTTCTTTGTATAGTATATTCATTTCTAACAAGCATTCTGAGAGTATTGCATAAGCAATACATGTCCCCTACCGGGTTCCCCTTTTTCTTCAGGATGTCATTTTATAATATGCAAAAGTTATATCCAAGGTAAAACTGCATGTTTTTTTAGGTTGTGAATGCCTTAAACCTAATAAAATAATCCACATCAAGATGAAAATTCAACTCATGTTTTCCAACCGCATCAACGTCTTTTACTCGCTTCATATTTATGTCGACGATCGGAAGTTAGCGCAGCACGAACCCGATCTTAATTAAACGAATGCGAAAAATTCATAATGCCATAATTCTGTCAAAAATAAATGAAGCGATGCGATTTTCAAACTTGATCTGTACCTCATCTAGATACACTCACATACCAAAATTCAGCACAATATCTGCAAGCGTTTAGAAAAAAAGTGTGGAAAACCAAGTGGGACAGACTGACAGACAGATGGGGACAGACAGACAGACAAACGGACAGACGCAGAGGATACATATAGTCCCCTCCGGTTTCACCGGTAGGGGACTAAAAACCAGTCAATATCTGCAAGCGTTTCGAAGAAAACACGGAAAACCCTGAAAAATTGAAAAGGCTAATTCCATAAAAAATCAACGAATCGTAACTATATTCAAACTTGATCTGTAACTCATCATGATACATCGACGTACCAAAAATTAGCTCAATATCTGCCAGCGTTTATAAAAAAAGTGTGGAAAACCAAGTGGGACAGACTGACAGACAGACGGGGACAGACAGAAAGACAGCTGGAGAGACGGACGGACAGACAGACAGCTAGACGGACGGACGGACAGACGCAGAGGAAACCTATAGTCCCCTCCGGTTTCACCGGTTGGGGACTAATAAGTGTAAAAGGGGCAAAATACAACAATTAAGGGTGAAAATTATCTTTATTCTGTATTTTAGTTGGATACACAGTGCTTATGTTTTTCAATCACAAGATGTTTTATCATGATTATATGTAGAGATGTACACTTGATATTGCCTCCTACATGTACTTACAGAAGAGTCAATCTGCCTGTAACAGGCCACTCCATATACTGTCCTGTAGGTACCATCACGGGATGGAAGATGAAAGTAAATTGTATCTGTAAAAAAATTTGTCATTTCTCACTTATCTAATTGTTCAGTAAGCTCTACATCAGGAAGGGGGGGAAAATGCCTCTTTTAAAGAAAATACTATATAAATGCATTGTTCTTGATATTTACAGAGTGTAACTTTCAGCAGAGTACATTTTACAAAAAAAAAATGCTATTGAAATAAACAATTTTTTTCTTTGTAACCTTTTTTGTAATTATGTGCTCCATCAGGTATTGCCAAGGATGCAAGGTGTTTCCATTCTGGGGGAGCCTCAGAACTGTTGACATCATTCCCCTCCACAAGAGGGGGATAGGAATACTCAACCTAGAGGAAATAAAGGTAAACAGGCCATCAAGTATAAGGTCAATGTTTGGAGCTGACAACACATATTTATAAAATTATGCATAATATTAAAAGATCTCATCACATTCATCAGGTTGAATTTTTTTTTTTTTAGATGGAGGGAATTTCAATTCATAAAAGTAAAAATAACTTGCATGAACTGGTTTCTGATGAAAATCAAAATCAATGAGAGAAAACACAAAATAATGACATTAAATAATAGCGAGCGCAGCGAGGTGGCGCGAAGCACCATTCGCGTAGCAAGCTCAATAGATTAACGCGTACAAACAGAGGAAATTCAGGTTGAAATCTGCACATTGTTCCAAGAAATTTTTATGAGTCCACGTGAAAAAATTCCAAACTCCCAATATCCTTTGTGGTGCATAGCAACATGGTGGCTAAAACATAGCAACAACTTACTTGAAGAAAATTAAAAACAACGATTTAATGCAATCTCCATGTCAAAAAACTATCCTTTGCGTCCTAAGTCAACAGGACTTTTTATCTGATGTCATACTTTCGTCACTTTGACGGTTCGGATTTTCCGATTTTATCGGAAACTTCCGAGAAGTTCAAAATCTCGATCCCGATGCCTAAGAAGTGATTTTTTTATTGTTTTGTTTTCTCCTTTTTTCTTTCTTTTTCTTGAATGATACAGAGTGATAGGCAGTACATGTGTAGGTTTATGATAGTACATATCTACGTTCGCCTCAACGGTCACACCGTAAAACATATTAGTTCCAGAGGATTAATCTTTTTCTGGACTGAGTTGGATGTTTGTCGATTATCGTTGTTATGCTTGTTATGTCATCTTTTGTAAATCTGTTATCTTTGAATGCCCCCACGCTTCACAGCATAGTTGCTGATCAACGATCATGTTTATTTAGCATGGTCCGCTTTCTCTCAGGGTGCATGGCAGTCGTACAGTCGTACACAATTAACTACTCAAGTCATCATGGCCATTAAAAGGTAGGAGTCAATACTGAAGTGCAATAAAAAATTTAATCATTGCGGCCTACGGTTCTAACCATGGTGCAGCCGTTTTAGCCAGGGCGCTAATAAATTTAACAATGATGGGCCATCACGATAAAATCGATCCTAAATAGGGAAGATTATTTCTTACGTAGCTTAGGCTATACCTGATTTAGTAAATGATATAAAGATGATCCTAAAAAAAATTTAATTACTGGTTAGATTGCACTGACACAACAAAGAATGAACTAAAGCATTTTGCTCACTGGACACAAAAGCTTACTGCTAGAGCATATATTTATAGAGTACCCATGTACCCAGGGTCAACATCACCCCTCCCCCATTTCTTCAGAAAACAGAGGACCTCGTGGCTATTTGTACCTGGCATCCTTTCTTGTGATGAAATCCAACAACCACCACATGAAGCACAGGGGATCCCTGGCACATGTCAACAACTGACATTATCAGAAATTACTTCGATTTTTTCGTCATGACAAGTCAACACAATATCATTCGCCCACTTCCGGATTGTTGGACATTAAACAACTCGTTCATCATACAATTCGTTACGTTCTGAAGAGAAAAAAATATACTGTACCGAAAAAGATATTATTGTAAAGATATAATTCATCTATTTTTTTTAACTATAAGTTGGCGATCTTTCATTTCAAATTGCTTAACTAAGGACACGTCTCTTTGCCAGTTTGCTTTCACTGGCCTGATGTTGGATAAATCTAAACCCTTGTCCTTTAAAATAGAAATGAGTAAAATATATACACTGTATATATAATAATTAACTCATTAAAACGCGCAACGCTCCATTTTCGCACATGCATGGGGAACGTGGGGAGGGGGTGATACGTGTTGATAGAGACAAGTGCATATATGTATAATCTTTATAAGTGATATCATTATCATGTAAATCTATTTCCTTGTCTACAACCTTTGAATTATGGTGCTATAATACTATAATATTATAGTTCCCTTAGTCAATAAGGTCTCAGACAAAAAAGTCCTAAAAATTGTAACAAACAAACCAAGATCAGTATATCTTTGGAGTATAAAATAATATTTTAAAGATGCGTAAAAAAAAATATACTCACACAGCAACACATCTTTCAATGAGAAAAAGGAAAATGCTCTCATAATTATCATCCCTCCCTAGCCAGTTCATTTTCTTTGCAACACCGATGTCTATCATGGAACTCATAATTCTACGTACACTTTGTTTCGTATTGTCACCTCTAATCGTTCCCAGTTTTCTTACCTAAAAAGTACTGTTGATTTTAATGCTTAATGATATTACCATAACTCTTCAATAAATACTTCAACTATTTTTATTCGTACTGTTTATAATAGGTCGGTTTATTAAATGTCATATGATTATATTTACAAAATTATTTACAAAATTAAAAATGTATCAGACACAGAAATGAGAATGTATAAATGTATTTGGGAATCACACGTACTTGGACTTTTCCGGTTAGTATCGGAAATACCCTGTTTGTATGTGTGTGGATCGACAACTTACAAATTTAGTTAAACATGAAAAATATGTCTAATTGTCAAAGATCAGAGATGTGTCAAGCGTAATGCATCAAAGTCACGTTAATTTATTGAACTAAGATTACAATTTTTTCATACTTTTGACATTATGTTTCACAAATATCTTGTCAAGTGATTGCTAGTAAAGTAAACCAAAACACATTTGAATTTTAATTTGTAAATTAGTTTATCTAAGTTTGTGTAATATAATGTTTAGAATATTTTAATCCAACATAAATTGTGTAATTACCTGTAAATACCGAAACAATATTTTTCTATCTTACTTCTAATTAAGGGCAGATCACTCTAGTGACATAAAATTACCCTACAAAATAGATCTCTGTAGTGTGAAGTTTTAAGTAATTAAAAAACAATTTTTTTCACATAACAAATAAAATCACAGTATCTTATTTTGACAGTAACTGTGAGAAAGAATGGATGTTGCAAATATGCAAAAGACAAAGATATTGAAGATGCTGAAAAGGACTGGTTACGATACTCTTGCGATAGGGATCGATGGGGGTAGGAAGGAGAGGAAACAAAAAACGACAGCAGAATAGAAGGAGACCAACCGATGAATGGCCTTGAAATGACTTTGAATTTTTTGGTATCTGATGAATTATCATTATTACCCTTTGACTTTAATTTAGTTTTTAATATTAATTTTTGATTTAGTGTTTTTAATTCATGTAAATGATTTAATTAGTAAACCGTATCAAATTATGTTATTCTTGATATTTCTCCAACTTATTGGAAATTAAAAATATGAGTCATTGGTTGAGAACACTGGGTCAACGTAAAACAAACTCTGGGCCAACGTAAAAAGACGGTGAGCAAATGTGAAAATAACACCGGGCCAACATCAGAGAAACAATGGGCCGATGTAAGAGGAACGCTGGGCCAATGTAAAAGAAACTCTAAGCCAACGTAAAAGATACATTGGGCCAATGTAAAAGACATACTGGGCCAACATAAGTCCAATTTTTGTAGTCTAGTACGTAGGCCCAACATATATCCAAGGTTGGGCCAACATCCATGCAATCGGCGTCTACTGTTGGGCCAACGTAAAGCCAATACGTTGGCCCAACATGAGCCCACTTTGCACTTAAACATTGAACCAACATTGGTATGCAACGTTGGGCCAACAAAATGAATATTGTTGGCATTACATTGGGCCAACATATTGATGCTGACTGGGGTAGTATTTAAGGGTGAAGGGGTGTGAAATGTGTGAATTTCATGACCTGAGGGGTGGTACAAAAATCTTTGAAATTAATGCAATCTTTAAAATTAAACCGTCTTTACTCCTGGACATCAACATGATCAAGTACACAAACTGTTAGCATCACTGTAATCGACATTAATTAAACCCTCTACCAAAAATGTGAAATTTCTGGCTCTGGGGTCAGGGATTCTAGTGCTTTGACGGGGCTAAATGGATTATATATTGTGAAAATGCAATAATTCTGTGAGAATCTTCTTCTCTGCTCTTGGGTATTATGAATAAAAATTAAGTGCATAGTTGTGTTGAGAAAAATTGCTGTTACCACAATTTTGAATATTGATTTAATGGCCCCAAGATCAGCGGTTCTGGTGTTAGGGCGGGGCTCCAATATGATTATGTTATTGTAGTGAAAATGCATTACCGATACTTCTTTGAAAATCTTCTCCTCTGTTCCTGGGTATTAAGCCGATGAACTATTTACATAGTCATGATGACGAAGGTTGCCTTTACCAAAATTATTATTTTCATGGCCTTTAGGTCAGTTTTCTGGTGTTAGGGCGGGGGTTCTATTGATCATATGGTGAAAATGCATTAATTAAATCTTCTCCTCTGCTCCTTAGTCTGAAATTCTTGGAAACATTAGAGTGTCTAGAGCAACATCATATCTAGAAGTCACTTGCATAAGTCAAATGAAGCTGAGTAATATATAAGGCACCGATTTTCACTATAATAAACGGTCAAATTTGCGTTCCAGCATGCTCTTGCTAGATATTGCAGAAGTGTTCATGTATTTGATTTTCTAGGACGAGTTCCGAGCTGGGAAACGAGTAACAGTAAGCTGGGATATCACTGTGTTCCAACGTAATTAAGTGAATTTAGGATTACTTTAATCTCAATCACTGTAGGAAAGCTAATCAGGTCAACGTACATTGCAAATTCCGCTTCGAATTCCGCACCCCCGCATGTCACCATTCCGCGTCCCCATATGTGGGGTTATACACGTGTTAGTATTAAGTAAATGAACTATGCACATAGTTATGATGAGGGTGGTTGCCTCTTAATTCCAGAATTGTGAATTTCATGGCCCATGGATCAGGGGTTCCAGTGTTAGGGCGGGGTTTCATTGCTTACAGAGTGAAAATGCATTAATTATTTAAAAATACTCTCATAAACTCCTGGGTATTAAACCAATGAACTATTTTCATCGTTATATATGATGAGGAAAAGTGTACCTTCCAATATTGCGAATTTCATGGCCCCTCGGTCAGGGGTTCTGGTGTTAGGGCGGACTACAATGATTATGTAGTGAACATACATTAATTCTTTGAAAATCCTCTTTGTTACTTGGCACTAGTATTATGCTGATGATTTATTAGACGTACATAGTTAGGATGAGGAGGTTGAAGGGTGCTTTTTCCAGAATTGTGAATTTCAAGGCCCTTGGACAGGGGTGTCTGGAGTGGGTTAGGTTCTAATGATTCTATACTGATGTAGACAAGTGCAAATTTAATATTTTTACATTATGTACATCACTTTCCAATTTTATCAGAACGTTAGTTTTAGTATTTGTTCGGAGCCGAGGCTGACGTCTTTACTCGTCACGCTGCAGCCAGAACCACATGTCTGAGTGAACGTCGGCCTTAGCATAGCATTTTGTATTTTTGAAGTACTAAAGTTAAACAGGTGTGTATTGTGTATTTTTGCTACTTTTTACCTAGTGTGCATTTATGTAAATCATTATAAGTATGCATGTCTTAGAATTTCATGATTTGTACTTGAGTTGTGTATTCGGTGAACTTATTTCCCGCCAGACGCTACATGTGCGCCCGTTTAGGAGATCATGCTTATCGATAGAATTGATAGAATTATTGAGTAATTAATAATGTCATATGTTTCTTGATCATAGTTATGCATAATAACGAGGTTGTTGCAACTTTATTTCTAGTTTTAATGTAATAAACGTAACTTTGAGAAATTTGTATGTAGTATTCCGGAATTACGGATTCCTCAGTTCGGAACTAGGTCTTGGTTTTACTTTTAGTAGGCGATATGTGTTTCCTGTTTGTTTGTTTACCGATAAGTTGTTTTCATTTGTATGCATTGAAGAGTGATTCAAGGTAAATTGAACATGAAGAATAGATTGTATGAATAAGATTTCATGATGTAGCAAATGTTCAATGATTTCTATATATTTTAATGTCATTTTTGCTCATAATAATAAGGGAATAACTTGTCTTTGTAAACTTTGACTTGTGACCCTGATGTTTTATATATCAGTTTGATGGTATAGATGTTGATGGTTAAGTCTATTACTTTTCTTGACTGTATACATGTAGAAGTCTGTTAGTTGGTAACGGCTATGTATATTATTCTTTATTAAGAGTCAAGCTAGGTATTAGGGCAGTTGTTTATTTTAAAAGTCAGTATCTGTGTCATATTAAGTTGACCAGTTTAATCATATTAGTGTTTACACTTTATCGTGAGTACATAATAGTACCATGTGTTATATTTAGTGTAGGTCTCACTATATATGCTTTTATATGACTTAAGTGTTAAGTAGGTTGATCAAGAGTTGTGCACGCTCATGCTACTAGGGTTTATTTATGAAATAACATCATGAACCATCATTCAGTATATACACTTTGTACATACTTTATAACTGTTGTTTATTATTGTACTTTGTTCTTTGCAGATATCACTGCTGCCTTTTGGTTTTACTAAATAAATTGGTGAACCTAAACAAAAGTCTTATCGCTTGGCTACACTGAAAATAA